AAAAAACGGAAATATTCAGTTTTAGATTGCATGCTCGATTTCAGACGATTTTTTTGTCACCGCAAAAATGTATTCAGCCTTACTTTTTTCCTCTCACCCTCTTTATTTTGTCAGGCATTTGTTGCCGAACATTTATTCACTTGTTTCTCTCGCGTGCGATCTCGACATTATGATTATACGTAAGAAAATCCGCGACACGTCGCAATATATTCTCGGGAGGGAAAAGGGAAGAAAAGTAGAACTTCAACTTTTTCGAACGAATATTTTTTTCTCGATCAATGTCTACGTCCATTAAGCTTGACTGAGATTGAGTAATGATCGGATGTTTCACTTTCAAGTCATCAATTCTATGATCAATGGTTTGATGCCATTCGATTTGATGGAAAATGTGATTTTTCAGCTTTACACCGGATTTTTAACGACTTTTAATATTTAAAGAGTGAAAAGTTACAACGTGGTTTTAAATTTGAGATTTAGACAATAAACTCATATGAGATTGAATTATTGACACGTATTCGAAAGTTTCAATATTATTACACCCTTTAAAATTATACGATATATAATTTTAAAATTACGGAAGGAAGGGAAAAACGATTGCATAAAAATTTCTATCTTTTAATGCTTAAATAATTATATTTTATTAAAATTTATACCGTTGGTAATATTTAAATATGTACCGAGAGAGGGAAAAGGAAAAATGAGGGAAAGAAAAAACATCGTAAAGCTCTATAAATCTTCGGATCGTGTATGTATTGTGTATGCGATTAATCAAGGATTTCGAATGTCTGCGTCAGGGATCTCGGGTATTTGGACTTATTTGAGTAATGCAAGTATTCAAATATCTACAAGTCAATTTCCACGCTTTTTTTACGCGCGTGGGAGATATTCCATCCCGCTCCAGATTCCAAGTACATTATCATGTAAATCATGTAAGCACGTCGGTAAACAAACTCGAGGAAAGAAAGAGCTGAACTCCGACCGGGTTGGCGCCATAACGTCGATGAGACACGGACGAAAATTCGATGGTTTGGTCGTAAAGGTTTAAGTACCCTGAAAAAAAGTGAATGCATGTGCACGCGATTGTTGTAATCGCGCTTGCTGTACGAGGTGCTCGAGCGTTTTTACGACGCAACGGATCGCCGACTGACGCGAGTATTATGGACCGGAACGTAATTGAGCGAACGACATTAGTGAATCGACTGCATTGGCGAAGTTTAATCACGTTTTTTTTTTGTTACGTATTATATCGATATGAAATAAAAAGCTACTGAAAATAAAAAAATTTAATTGCTTTCTGCATGTAATTTTATGTCGAGTCAAAATGAAATCCAGTCAATATTCTCTTCTCCCTTTCTCTCTTTTGCAATTTTTTTTATTAAACAATACGCAAGGTTGATACAAAATATTTGCTTTTACTGTATTGTTTTCTACTGTAAAATTTCCGCTGTTTATAATAGTTAAATGCGATAGACGCTGAACAAATATTTACATATATACCACACAAATATCGTTATTTTAGCTATTACATTATGTGCAATCACAAAATTTGTATATTATTGTTTTACGATAATATTGCTATGTATTTTAATGACTCGTGATGAAAGCCAAACTATGCATCAATTTTACTCCTACCGTGTAGAAATATTATACGTATTTCGAAAATAGCTCCACTTTTGCTTGCATTCATTTTGAAATGAATGCTGTGAGAATGCTTATGAATTTCGAAAAAAGTTTTCCTAAAGAGAAAATCGTTATATAAAAACATTCAAAGCTAATAAAAGATCTGCTTGCTTTATTTTATTTTATTCGATTATATCGCGACGGTTTGCGCGTGCACGAGCAGAATGCTCAACACATTGCATTGCGAGAAATCTGAAACGGCACTACTGTATGGATGCAGTACAGGTGCATGAAAAGGGGAAATCATGCGGCGTGTGTCAATGGAATCTTTTTAATTTATTTGTTTTTATATCTTTTTAATTAAAGCACCCTCGCAAATTCCATTGACACACGCCATACGTTAAAAAAAAAACGTAGATTTCTCTCTAGCTGAGTGAGATTCACAATAAATTTCGTTGCGCCTCTCGCGTATTGTAAATACTACTCGCTGCCGCTGTTGCCGCCTCGGCAAACGATTCCAGGTTCAATTAGCGTCTCGAATTCGTGCGTGGGTGTGGTGGACACGCGTTGCATTTATGCTATGCGTTCTGACATTCCTCGTACTGTTTGCTATAATTCCAATAAATCAAACGTGGCTCGGCTGACATAGTTTGCAATTATCAGCAGTACTATATTTTCCATAATCGTGAATATCACGGTTTGTTCATACACAACACAGACCTCTAAGAGAATATGACCTAAAGTTGTCCAGAGGATGTTCTAAAGCGTTCAGAGGACGTTTACACTGAAAAAAAAAAAAAAAAAAAACAGTTTGATAATAGCTACTAATATTGAGTGAATTATTATAGTTTCAATTAAATATTTGGTTAATATAAAATAATTTTATTCTTCTAAATAATATTTAGTAATTATTATTAATTTTTGATTGGTTATATTATGTTTTGTAATACTTGCCAAATATTTAGAAAAGAATAAAATTATTTCTACTATGTTTACCAAACATTTGAAATTATTTCACTTGACATTTCATAACTATTATCACATTCTTTTTCAGTGATATTAAGAACACATTCCCAGGAGGTCTCTTTGATAAAGTGTGCAACTCGATGAAGACATTACGTTAAAATGTCACGATATATTCCTGCGTTTGCTAATATCACTGCATTACAACAGAGAGTTTAGTAAACAATTATCAGTTATCTTTATTCTACTTTTATTTACAATGTACAGATAATGAGAGTTTTTTTCAGTAACGCAACTAGATGAACATGAATTTTTTGAATTCTTCGCAAATTTTTAGTTGAATAAAATACAATTAACCTATATTTCACAGACGCTGAATACAACTTGCCTATTTCAATTCGCGAGGCGCGATGAGTTTGATTGCACTTTGTGTTATTAAAAACAAAAATCGAAGTTTGATAACAATGATAGCTTTCGCCGCGGACGCGAATCTCTTTTCCCAGTTCTGACGGTGAAATTCTGACGAAAATAGCCGCGTTCCCTCGTAAAGGTCGCACATAAAACGAAACGAATGCGTGACAACGTTCCACTAGGTGTTTCATTTCAACCTCGATTCAGATAAATCGCGAAACACTATGATTTCTCGTGTTTCATTGCTCGCATTCCGTTCTCCTGCCGTTTTCTTGGCCGAGACAAGCGCAACGAGGAAAATGCGCTCTTGGAATATTTTTATTCTATTTTAAGGCGTGCACGTCAGTCAGGGGGCAAACTGAAAAGAGCGGACCTGGACTCTTTATAAATGATCGCACCAGGTTTCTCTGCACTTCCATTTTTCACACGAGAACAAGACGAGACGTGTATTTTACAGTGAGATCGCGAAAAACTCTCTCTTTCTCTCTCTTTCTCTCTCTCTCTCTTTCTTCCTCTCTCTTTGTTAGTGCGTTTAAGATGCACCATTCAAAATCGATTATTGCTGCGCTTGTAATTTGAATGAGTAACAGATTACCCGCTTTCATGGAAATATCACGCAATTTCGTTTCATTTGAATATAATATCGACATAACATCGCACCATTCGCAAGATAATTGGACCATGCAGTTACGTTACTCATCTATATTTCATCGTGGGTATAAAATGAATTCATTCATTAGTTATTACGGAAGTTGCTTGTCGGATGCTGCTGTTGAATCTAAAGCCGAATTTATATATTGTATATTATATATGTACATGTTGAGCTTTTTGAGTATTTCAAGTTACTGCATGTGCTCGCTAAAACAAGACAAATGGAAACAACAGATTGCATCATTTATTCAGCGAATTTTTGTACAGTTTTCGATATTATTTTTCGAAGTGATGCACACTCGCTCACGTACGAACACGAAATATTCTTTTAAAAGAATTACGGTATTCTAGAAGTGAGTCAATGTGTCCGATAAATTTAGTGTTGATCTTTTTCTCAATTAATATTATATATTCACATTTTACTTTAATTCTCGAAAATTTTGCGATTTTTTTTTAGCGAGAAATCACATAATTAAATATTAAATTAAATGTCCATCAGAATGCGTCGCATTCCAGGAATTAATTAAGAGTTATATTCAGAATTTTTATATCGTCTTTTATTCTATATTCATAAATTTTGCTACGACTTTATATAAATTTTATTTAAAAAAAGGAGAATCGTGTAACTGCAGCAACTAACATTTACAATCCACTTCTATTTGAAAATTATTCATTTGAATCTGAAACTTTCCGGAAAGCGTATATAAGTAGAGAGGAAGGCACATTTACGGCCGTCATTCCGACACTGTGTCGTCGATCGTAATTACCGGGAGGCAGTAATACACGGCCGTTACACTCCGTGGGTAGCGTGGCGCTTTGATTATGAATAAAACATGCACTTACAAAACACCATTCCATCGCTCTTCTCTTTACTCGCTCGATATACCGGAAAGAGTATGTCGCCGTTCGTGACGGGCGGGATTCTATGCACGCGTCGCGCGACCAGGGGCCATTTGTACATGTCGCCGTTTTTTGCCGGTCGCATTGTCGGGAAGCCGGGGTAATTGGGAGACGGCCGTCGATCTCCCGTGCGCCAGCAGGGCGCGTTTAATAAAGTTAATATCGCCTCTCCGGTAATATAGTAAACGGTGGACAGTTAATAGCGCGGGGATCGAAACCGGGGGTATTTTGTAAATATTGTTTGTACGTGTCATATTTTTTCTCCCGCTCTTTCTCGACGGTTATCAGGATGATAATTCTGGATTAGGAAAGGAGAATGATGATCGTCTTTCGCGTTGCATCGCGAGGTAAAAGTAAATTTAAGGAACCTGCGCAAACGAATCTCCTTCCGGTAGAAGGAAAGAATGAATGGAAATCAATTCAACAAAAGAGAATCTATACGTTTTGTCTTCCAGAACTCTTTAGAAGCGCGGCAGAGGCTGGTCCTCTGGACATCGTAAAGCTTCGCAAGGGAGACAAGCTCCTCAATATTTCAACTCATCTACCGGCGAACACGCCCGAAACGCCTTATGTTCTTCAGGTACTTGATTTAAACTTTTATTCTACGTAATTGATTACGTATTTGAGGAAATAGTTTTTGATAAGTCTTTTTTTTGTGGAAGTTGCTCCGCAAGAAGGGCAAAGAGTTTCTTGTTATTTATTTAAAGAAATTTGAGGAAATAGTTTTCGATAAGTACTTTTTTGTGGAAGTTATTCCGCAAGAAAGGCAAAGACTTTCTTGTTACTTATTCGAAGAAGTTTGATGAATGAAAGAATTGTGTTCCCTTTTATCAGATTTTACTGTTTATACGGTAAAAATGACATGTTTGAAGCAACCGATGTCTTGATTTGGGTAATGAACATTTAATCTGCGTTTAATTGAACAATCATTGTATTATCATAATTGGTCTTATCACGTAATTGGAATTAACATTGATGATAAAGTTTTTGGTAAGAGTTTAAAGCTTTGATTATTTTTCATAAGTAACTACTTCATTTGTATATGGCTCTTTACATATTTACGAGGATATCGATCTGCACTTATTAGATACGAATGTAAAATTCATTAGATGATAAAATGCAAAAGATATTTTTTCTGATCGCGATTGATACGCATAGATTTGTGTCTTAATGCTTACACATTTTTTCGTATCTTATAATTTTGATAGGAAAATTCAAATAGAGCTAAAATGTAAAATTTTGTAAGATATATTTATATATATATATATATGTAATGAACATAAAACTATCTAAGTTAATTGAATACTTAATTTTATTATAGTATCTCATATTCTATAACGTATCTTTATCTTATTTTCTAACATTTTAATAAGATTGTAAATAAAAATGGTGAAAAAGTGTCCAATTACATAAACTATTTATTGGCGAAGAAATAAGCGAATTAATTTATCTGATTAAAAGACAAACGCGCGATATTATTTTAGAGTTTAGATTATGCTTTAATTTTGATTAGTTGATTAGTTTATAGACAATGTGTTAATTTTCCTTTACACAAAATATTTTAAATGCGCGCAGCGTACACTTTACGTACTTAGCTGGTTGCTTTTTAAGATCGTCGGCGCTCATCCCGCTTCTTCTGGGGTGATCGAGGCGGAGGTACTTTGGGCTTTAGAGAGGCGCGTGGCGGCTTTAGAGCGGCAACTGCGAGAACATCAAGAAGCTTTATACGCCACACCCTCTCTCGCTCTACGAGAACTCAAACGCCAAGTGGACAGTTTCAAGAACAAATTGGAGAACAATGATCAGCTGAGCTGGCTTAGTAAGTAACCACATACTTCGTTCCTGCATTTTGAGTGTCCCTATTATGCCTAAGTATCTGACCGATTTATGTCAGGGACATTCTGTAAATGTCATATCGAAAATTAATAAAACTTGTCAGATATTTTTATCATATTCTTTTGTAATTTTTTAATACGACGAAATAATTTATTTCCAAAGATCAAGTTTGGCAAGATTAAATCTAATTATATTAGAAGCGGCTTATAACATATATATACATATATATATATATATATCATTCTAAAGTTTATTACGACATTAATATACTTTTTATATGTTCGATTTTAGCATTTTTGTAGGATTAAAAATTTTTATAACGAGCAGCTGGAGTGTAATTTGATATAATTTATAATTCGATAATTGTCGCTTCTAATTTTGATGACAATAATCAATTTTAGTTTCTTAAATAAGTAACATGTACAAAACTTGTGGAAATAAGTTTCGTAATTGAACTTCGTAATCGGATTTTGTGGCGCGGTGACCGTAGCGGTAAAAGTGAATGGGATAATCCAGCGGAACGGAGAAATTTGGGATAATGTCTTACTTTTGACATTAAATAGCGAACATTAGCGAAATGAAATGCTCTGGCCGTCTGTGGATGGCCGTCATTATCCGTCGAATGATTGCACCTATGGACCTGTGGGTCCATTATCGTAATGCATCGGAGTGCACGCTACTGTTAAAATTAATTTATTGTTGCGGCATTATTCTTTTATGTTAAATACGAGAATAAAAGTCTATATATTGGTGTACCGATATAGAAAACATGATTGTTCCTATATTGTACAGGATACAAGGAATTTTTGTTTTATTGCGTCGTATAGTGAAAAGAAAATGAAATTGAAGATAAATATGGACATTGTCGGAGCAAAGCGCCACGGGCGCTTTCCTTCCTTTTCAATCCGCTCTTTCGAGATTTCAATTCATTGAATGCACGTTTAATTATTCTCTTGTTTAATGAAATCTCGGGTGAAAAATAGCAGAAATGGAATTTTAGTAATGTCAAAATTAGAGAAATAAAAATGACTAATGGATTCGTTCATCAATTTTAAATAGTTTTCGTATTGCATATTAAAGATTATCTTGTATAATATTTTTGATATCAAATTCTCAATAATAATTTAACACGAAAGCTGTATTGATATTTTTGTTTAAGGCAAGAGTGTAGTCTAAATTGTTCACGATGGTTCTCGACAACTTGGAAACGTTTGGAAATTGAATCGTCACGCAACACGGCAATCCTTTCAATGAAATGGAAAAGTTGTTGCGTTTCAGGTGTACAAATAATTGCCCATTAATTCTGAACACAGTAGAATTAAATAATCGCTAAGGAAATTACACTTGTTAAAACAATTACTATCGGGGAATTTTATTGTATATCGATAAAATCAAAAGATATCTCGGTAATATTTATTATAATGTGGAAATAATTCTAAACAAATAAATAAATAGCAAATAAGATAGTATACCCCGAAGAAATAATAACGAAAATATAATAATTTGAAACATACTTTTTTTCAATATTTTGCAAAGTATCTTCGGTTTATTGTAGGAGATTAATCTTAAGATATGTGTGTATGTCTCAACTTGACTTTTCCAACACAATCGTTGCGATAACTTTTCTTTTTTAGATTTTATGTCCTGTACTGAATCGAACTTTACGTTGAAATAGGTCGGTCATCTCGGTCAGATATAAAAGTTCGCGAGAGATTTTACGATGCCGCCCGATCTGAGACTAGCGACGGATATACGAGCGAATAAACAGCGGCATGCTTGGCCGCTGAATAAATATTTGTCCATGCAAGGAACCGTTCCAGCTATTCCTATCTTCAATTTCTAGTTGAGCTAATATAGAGGTTGATTCAAGTATGGACGAAGAAAAATATTCCGCTCTTGTATGGCCGTTATTTTAATTACTATCTCAACCTTCTTTGTGAGTTGGGGCTATTTGCATACCGCGCAGAAATTTAATTCAGAAAACTTCGTAATCTGCACTTTTTATTACGTATGTGTAATTTGATCCTTTACAATATTTTTGCTAAGAGAGGATAGAAAATTTTCTAAGAATCTGCCGATAAAGGGAAAGCCGATGAAACTGGGACGGCACGTGTATAGGCAACTCTTAGCACATGAAACTCTTCCTTATAAAATCTTGTTACGACGTGAAATGACGTAGAGTTTGCGAAAAATTGCTCCAGTGTCCCCCTTTCCATCTTCGATGTTCTTTCACGATCCTTTGTTGCATGACACAGTTCCTGCCGCAAAAACCCAAAACTTTCCGAGAGCTTAATCTGGATATCTCCATCTTCCGCAGGTTTCTACAAGCTTCCGGAGCCCATCTATATGGAATCCTGCCGCAGATTGCAGTATCGTCGGAAGAGTGATAGCATGAAGCGGAAAGTTCGGGAGAAGTTCCTCAATATCTGGTGAGTTAATTAAGATTGTATCATGTAATCGCTAAAACTGTACGTGACGCAACGTTTCGCCTGCATTGTTATAGTTCTTCCTTAGTAAACGGTAACCTGCGCACATACGTATATATAATAAAGTAACGTGTCAAATCTGACACTTTGATAAGAAAACTCTAAGAAAAATAAATTTTATATTTCTGCGATAAAATTGCACAAGACGCGCGCCGTTGAGAACGCCGCTATCATTGATAGCGGAAAAATTCCTTATCGACGTACTTTTATCCACACACTGAACCAGTATGGATCTTCCATGCCGATATTACGTGGGCAGGATCGCCAATGCTGTGCTTCCACAGCATGTTCGATCGAAGTGCCAACAGGCCGTTGGACAAGCCATCGGCAACTGTAGTGTGCCGCGGCCGATGATTAAGCGGCTGCGATAATCCTATCTATTAAGCAGCAATATGCCGCTGTTTCCAGTTACATTGTCATCCAATAGCGATCCGATAGACTCACCGTTCTCTACTCTTGGTGTAATGTGAGAACCCCCCACGTTCCCCAAGTCATTGTGATTAAACGTCGATGCTTCGCGCGTGCATCGATCGTCTATCGTGCATGCCATGCAGCTAAAAACACGATCCTACCTAGAAGATTGATTAGCCAGGGGGAATGTTATTTAACAAATACACATACGCTGGAGATTCGCTGTTGTACGCAAGGTATTTCACCATTCGTGCCTGTCATTTCACTCATGAGCTTCTCTAGCCGATTTATAATAGATCTTTTCTTAATATCATATAGAAAAATCATAGAACGTTCTATATTGATATCGTAAAAATAAACAAATTTTAACGTTCCCCAATGAGAAAATCAAGTTGATGTAATATTTAATGATTAATATGAATTATTCGTTATTTAGTTTTTTGGTTAGCCAACAAATTTCAAAAGAGGAATTGTGATAATTAAATTAATAATTGATAATTAATTATTAATTTCTCATTAGAGCATTGCTAGGTAATACATATGTATATAATGTGTTAATATTTATTTGGAGCAATCGATTTATTTATTATAAAATGAATGAGAGATAGGGAGATAAACAAGCCATAATAATGATAAAGCCATATTGCAATTGCTATTGAAATATCCTCTATTGAAGTTCCTAGTCAATAAAGCATCCATTGATGGCTTAATTTACCACGTTGAACGTCGGAGATCAAAGGATGTGGTGCGGAAATTAATTATGAAGCGATGTAGAAAGTATAGAGAATTTACGAGGGACAATTATCGGGAAATTAGGAATAAACAATTCGTCGGAGTAAAATTAATCGATTTGCTGAAATATTAGCAAGATCGCCGGGAATAAAGTATTGATCCGTTTCCCTTTGAAGCGACGCGACGGTGAAGATAAACAATCAATCTCTCGACGCATCGTAAAGTCTCATCACGCAAAACAGTCATGCGGCGCGTTCCTGAATGCCTATCTCTGTTCTCCCAGTTTACGTTTTCCTTATTTAATATTATATGCCTTTTTTTAATTAAAAATTTTTTAATTAAAAACGGATTTAGACTTACGCGCTGTAATATCTTAAATAAGAGCGGTATACAATGTGAAATACGTTTAATAAAATATAGATTGTGATATTAATCATCACGATGATGGCGAGATATTTTAATGCGTGAATTTTTTATTGCGAAAAAGGTATGCGTAAAAGCTTTTTTAATTTCGCTAGCTTAAAGTGGCGCGATTCGAATTTCCGTATTCGAGATTTTCTTGCGCGTAATTTGACGATATTTCCTTGCGCGTAGGATAGGATATATTACGCAGACGCTCTATTGCGAAATCGGCATAATCGAGGGCGTGCGCATCGCAAACAAGAATCGAAAGACGGATGGATCGTAAAAGTTGATTGATCTATGCTGATACAAGTGCGGACTGATGAAACTCCGGAGATGGGCGAAATCTGTACTCTCTTGCAGCATTACTGCTGACAGTTTGGCGACTAATAAATTCCAGATAAGACTGACGTATCGAGTTTGTGCTGTCCGTCTAAAACAGACGATTCGTTAAGATGCATTTGCAATACAAGCGACAGATATTTACCTCTAACAAATTGTGGAATCGGAATAAAAACAATAATTTTATTTTGATAAAAATGAACATGGGAAAATGGAAAAAACGATAACAAAAAGCTTTATAATAAATGTATTTAAAAAATATGTTTACCTTTATTATTTTGTTGTTTGTAATAATATTACGTTAATTGTTCTAGAAAAAAACGCAAATGTTAACGCAAAATGTATTGTTGTGTGTAATTTTAAATTGTGAAATATTAACACACTATTGTAATTTTTCTATATTTGTACTGTACATTTTATAAAGGAACATTGTTAAAACAATAATTCTTTGAACATCAAATCATCTGTAAGAGATGTGAATCATTTCTTCATTCCACAAAAATATTTGAAATTTATTGCTGTAGAAGTAATATTTTTAAAATGCATATTAAGTGTTAACTTATACCCCAACGTTAAATTGTACTGATACAGCTTTGAAGCACAGAGTAGCTTCAAAGTGTTTCGAACGTGAATAGTTATTATACGATGGACAATGACAGGTATAAAATAATCTAGTTTACACAGTGGTAAAACTCGTCGTTGACCAGACATCTCTCTCTCTCTCTCTCTCTCTCTCTCTCTCTCTCTACGTCGAATTGATTCTATTATTAAAACCGTTTTATTGATTATATCGAATCTGTCGGACTTGATTTAACGCAAGTTATGTGTTGACATTGGCAATGGTAGTAACATTACGTCCGTCTGGTTTTATTTAACTAACAAAAAGGGCACAATTCAGCGCAAATGTAAGATGGGAATAAAATATGTGCGTAAGTAACGACGCGGAATACGAGCCGTGTTATCGCATTTCCTCTAGCTCGGATAACCGTAAAATGAAATGTATTACCTTAAAATTGAATCGTATACAATGTTGCATGCGACTTTTCGATATTGGACGTGGATTTAGCGAAGTAAGAGTCACGGATGCATAAATGTGCATTTGAGTTGCTTTTTAACAAATACGTAATAAAATTCATATAATTTATAAAGCGTTAATGAATCTCGGGGAGAATTCCAATATTTTAATTTCGCGAGAATCGTAGTAGAAACAATTGAATCGTTTATGGCTTATAGATTCGCAAATAATCGACGAACGCGTATTTTACATCTCCAATTACGAGTTACTTGTGTTCGAATGCATTTCCCGAGAATACTGCGCGCGCGCATCTGTTATTAATTTAATTACAGTTTATTTCATTCTGCTTCTTTTTCTCTGAATTCTTCTATTTAGCTTTGCTGGATATTTCCACTTATAATTATACAACATTTGATAGTTATACATTACTTAACAAAAACTAACTACTTAGTTATGTAAATTATATAAATTTTAATATATTTTTCTATAAAAATGCCTGAACACTTCTTTCTCTCTACCTCTTCAAATTATATAATTTAAATTATAGAAATATTTTTAAAATATGTAAATATTTTATTCAGAGAATTCCAATTTTTAGACTTAAAAATTCTATTTTTAAATTTAAATTTCTTTCATATTTTTAACAAAGTTGAAGTTGAATTTTGAAATTCGTAGTAGGTACTACGAATTTTGTTACAATCTAATATTTATTTTTATATTAATTTATATTTAGGAAATGTTGGAAACGTTTTCTGTTAAATGTGTTTGACATTTTCTGTTAAGTTTTCCACGTTCGAGATTCCGCGTTTGTGAAAGAGACAAGAAGCGGATTACATTTACAATGACGACAATTCATTTTGCGTCGTGATAAAAACCTGGTTACGAGTTGACGTATTATGTTGGTTGGACTTTTTATTTCGCCTTTATTGATGTACTTATTTCCACGTATTCTTAGGGTAAAATGAGAGTTAATGACTTTTCTCGATTTTTTTTTTTTTTCTTCTCTATAACAAAACCTCATTTCCCTGGGCATCGCGTATCGTGCAGTCTCTCCGGTTACATTTTCGTCATATTCTGAATTTCGAAAATACTCTAGTTTATTGAGTCTGTCCGTCGCGTCGTGTCCGTCATAACACTACGAAGCTAAAAATTCCACGAGAACAGCGCCGTCTTCGCGCGTCTGATAAACAAAAACAAAGAAAACGAAAGGCGGTGATGCGTTATAGTTCGCATTACACAAGTAGGAAGTTTCCTGGCATAATTTCAGCGAATTCTATATAGGTGGGATTGTGGTAAAGCGTGACGAGGTGCAGGGCGAGCCTCGGGTGCTTAAAATAGGGAACATACGCGGCGTACCCGCGCGGCCGTGTCGGGATGCCTCGGAATGCGGCTGTTACCTATAAGTCGTACGTGCGTCTTGCATCCACAACCACGCCTTTTGCATCCTCTTCGTCTGGTTTGTGCGGGTCGACTTATTCCACGCCCGGCGAAATGTGCGATTCCGCCGCCGCCGTCGCGTATCGAATATCAAAACGTATCGCGCTTGTGCGCGGCAGCTCGATTTCTTGCGCTTGTCTGTGAAGACGAATAACACGAAGCGAATAAAATACGACGGGGAGACTCGCAGATTGCCATTACTATGAAATGTTCAAGATAGCGATGAACGATAAGTGATTATGGAAAGCTTATTGTTAATGTAGGTGCTCATTTATTTTGAAATACTTATTTATAATTTGTCGAAACTTATTTTGAATTAATTTGCTTTTAATTCTGTTGAAGTTAATCGTTAAATTTTTCTTTTTTTTTATCATTTTTGAGATTGTATATAAGATAATGAATTACCTTTATTTTATTTGTTATAAAATATATATATCTATTAGAATTTGTAACATGAATGTAGAACTTGAATAAGTTTTCCAAGTTTTCGAGTGATGGAAAATGAAATCTTGTTTAATTCGTTTTTGCGCTCAATTGCAGTAGCTTACCTGCAGATTCGTAGCGCAGCAGAAATAACACGTTGAATTTGGGACGATGAGGATTC